GAAAGAAATAAAAGCTTAAATAAATCATTCTCTCTACTATTATTCTGACATTTCACATTCTTAAAATAAAGTGGTGATCCTAACTGACCTGAGACAGGGAATTTTTACTAGGATTAGATGTCAGGAATTATAAAAAACTGAGTTTAAATGTATTTGGCTAAGGTGTATGTAAACTTCTGACTTCAACTGTATAAACTCAGCAAAAAAAGAAACGTCCCTTTTTCAGGACCCTGTCTTTCAAAGATAATTTGTTAAAATCCAAATAATTTCACAGATATTAATTGTAAAGGGTTTAAACACTGTTTCCCATGCTTGTTCAATGATCATAAATAATTAATGAACATGCACCTGCGGAACGGTCGTTAAGACACTAACTGCTTACAGACGGTAGGCAATTAAGGTCACAGTTACTTAGGACACTAAAGAGGCCTTTCTACTGACTCTGAAAAACACCAAAAGAAAGATGCCCAGGGGCCTGCTCATCTCCGTGAACGTGCCTTAGGCATGCTGCAAGGAGGCATGAGGACTGCAGATGTGGCCAGGGCAATAAATTGCAATGGCTGTATTGTGAGATGCCTAAGACAGCAATACAGGGAGACAAGATGGACAGCTGATCGTCCTCGCAGTGGCAGACCACGTGTAACAACACCTGCACAGGATCGGTACATCCGAACATCACACCTGCGGGACAGGTACAGGATGGCAAGAACAACTGCCGGAGATACACCAGGAACGCACAATCCCTCCATCAGTGCTCAGACTGTCCGCAATAGGCTGAGAGAGGCTGGACTGAGGGCTTGTAGGTCTGTTGTATGGCAGGTCCTCACCAGACATCACCGGCAACAACGTCGCCTATGGGCACAAACCCACCGTTGCTGGACTAGACAGGACTGGAAAAAAGTCCTCTTCAGTGACGAGTCGCGGTTTTGTCTCACCAGGGGTGATGGTCGGATTCGCGTTTATCGTCGAAGGAATGAGTGTTACACCGAGGCCTGTACTCTGGAGCGGAATTGATTTGGAGGTGGAGGGTCCGTCATGGTCTGGGGTGGTGTGTCACAGCATCATCGGACTGAGTTTTTCATTGCAGGCAATCTCAACGCTGTGCTTTACAGGGAAGGCATCCTCCTCCCTCATGTGGTACCCATCGAGCAGGCTCATCCTGATATGACCCTCCAGCATGACAATGCCACCAGCCATACTGCTCGTTCTGTGCATGATTTCCTGCAAGACAGGAATGTCAATGTTCTGCCATGGCCATCGAAGATCCCGGATCTCAATCCCATTGAGCATGTGTGGGACCTGTTGGATCGGAGGGTGACGGCTAGGGCCATTCCCCCCAGAAATGTCAGGGAACTTGCAGGTGCCTTGGTGGAAGAGTGGGGTAACATCTCACAGCAAGAACTGGCAAATCTGGTGCAGTCCATGAGGAGGAGATCCACTGCAGTACTTAATGCAGCTGGTGGCCACACCAGATACTGACTGTTACTTTTGATTTTGACCCCCCCTTTGTTTAGGGACACATTATTCAATTTATGTTAGTCACATGTCTGTTGAACTTGTTCAGTTTATGTCTCAGTTGTTGAATCTTGTTATGTTCATACAAATATTGACACTTTTTAAGTTTGCTGAATAATAAACGCAGTTGACAGTGAGAGGACGTTTCTTTTTTTGCTGAGTGTTTATATATATATATATATATATATATATATATATTTATATATATATATACACACACACAGTGCATTCGGAAAGTATTCAGACCCCTTTACATTTTCCAAATTTTGTTACGTTACAGCCTACACACAATACCCCATGTTAATTTACCCCTGTGGTAAATTAAATAGTTTGGACATGATCTGGAAAGGCACACACCTGTCTATATAAGGTCCCACAATTGACAGTGCATGTCAAAGCAAAAACCAAGCCATGAGGTCGAAGGAATTGTCCGTAGAGCTCAGAGACCGGATTGTTGTCGAGGCACAGATCTGGAAAACTGTACCAAAGTTTCTGCAGCATTGAAGGTCCACAAGAACACAGTGCCTCCATCATTCTTAAATGGAAGAAGTTTGGAACCACCAAGACTCTTCCTAGAGCTGGCTGCACGGCCAAACTGAGCAATCGGGGGAGAAGGGCTTTGGTAAGGGAGGTGACCAAGAACCCGATGGTCACTCTGACAGAGCTCCAGAGTTCCTCTGTGGAGATGGTAGAACTTTCCAGAAGGACAACCATCTCTGCAGCACTCCACCAATCAAGCCTTTATGTTAGAGTGGCCAGACGGAAGCCACCCCTCAAATAAAGGCACCTGACAGCCTGTTTGGAGTTTGCCAAAAGGCACCTAAAGGACTCTCAGACCATGAGAAACAAGACTCTCTGGTCTGATGAAACCAAGATTGAACTCTTTGGCCTGAATGCCAAGCCGCATGTCTGGAGGAAACCTGGCACCATCCCTACAGTGAAGCATGGTGGTGGCAGCATCATGCTGTGGGGATGTTTTTCAGTGGCAGGGACTGGGAGACTAGTCAAGATCGAGGGAAAAATGAACAGAGCGAATTACACAGAGATCCTTGTTGAAAACCTGCTCCAGAGCGCTCAGGACCTCAGACTGGGGCAAAGGTTCACCTTCCAACAGGACAACGACCATAAGCACACAGCCAAGTCAACGCAGGAGAAATAACACATATGGAATCATGTAGTAACCAAAAAAGTGTTAAACGAATCTAAATATATTTTATATTTGAGATTCTTCAAATAGCCACCCTTTGCATTGACGACAGCTTTGCACACTCTTGGCATTCTGACAACCAGCTTCACCTGGAATGCTTTTCCAACAGTCTTGAAGGAGTTCCTACATATGCTGAGCACTTGTTTGCTGCTTTTCCTTCACTCCCACTCGTGGAGCTTCTCGTACCAGGTGGCCTGGATTTCCTGTTAAAGAACAAGAAGGCCCGCACACTGTTAAAGTTCCCAATTCACAGCTTTATTGACAGCTTTAACGTTTCGATCGTATGACCACAAGGATGTGCGGATGACCACAAACTTTTCTATAGACTGGATTTTCTGTTAAAACAACACAAACAGGTGGTGCAAATGACTTTAATAATTATCTATCAGATATACAGTGGGGGGAAAAAGTATTTAGTCAGCCACCAATTGTGCAAGTTCTCCCACTTAAAAAGATGAGAGAGGCCTGTAATTTTCATCATAGGTAAAAATCACATTGTAGGATTTTTAATGAATTTATTTGCAAATTATGGTGGAAAATAAGTATTTGGTCACCTACAAACAAGCAAGATTTCTGGCTCTCACAGACCTCTGTCCTCCACTCGTTACCTGTATTAATGGCACCTGTTTGAACTTGTTATCAGTATAAAAGACACCTGTCCACAACCTCAAACAGTCACACTCCAAACTCCACTATGGCCAAGACCAAAGAGCTGTCAAAGGACACCAGAAACAAAATTGTAGACCTGCACCAGGCTGGGAAGACTGAATCTGCAATAGGTAAGCAGCTTGGTTTGAAGAAATCAACTGTGGGAGCAATTATTAGGAAATGGAAGACATACAAGACCACTGATAATCTTCCTCGATCTGGGGCTCCACGCAAGATCTCACCCCGTGGGGTCAAAATGATCACAAGAACGGTGAGCAAAAATCCCAGAACCACACGGGGGGACCTAGTGAATGACCTGCAGAGAGCTGGGACCAAAGTAACAAAGCCTACCATCAGTAACACACTACGCCGCAAGGGACTCAAATCCTGCAGTGCCAGACGTGTCCCCCTGCTTAAGCCAGTACATGTCCAGGCCCGTCTGAAGTTTGCTAGAGTGCATTTGGATGATCCAGAAGAGGATTGGGAGAATGTCATATTGTCAGATGAAACCAAAATATAACTTTTTTGTAAAAACTCAACTCGTCGTGTTTGGAGGACAAAGAATGCTGAGTTGCATCCAAAGAACACCATACCTACTGTGAAGCATGGGGGTGGAAACATCATGCTTTGGGGCTGTTTTTCTGCAAAGGGACCAGGACGACTGATCCGTGTAAAGGAAAGAATGAATGGGGCCATGTATCGTGAGATTTTGAGTGAAAACCTCCTTCCATCAGCAAGGGCATTGAAGATGAAACGTGGCTGGGTCTTTCAGCATGATAATGATCCCAAACACAACGCACGGGCAACGAAGGAGTGGCTTCGTAAGAAGCATTTCAAGGTCCTGGAGTGGCCTAGCCAGTCTCCAGATCTCAACCCCATAGAAAATCTTTGGAGGGAGTTGAAAGTCCGTGTTGCCCAGCGACAGCCCCAAAACATCACTGCTCTAGAGGAGATCTGCATGGAGGAATGGGCCAAAATATCAGCAACAGTGTGTGAAAACCTTGTGAAGACTTACAGAAAACGTTTGACCTGTGTCATTGCCAACAAAGGGTATATAACAAATTATTGAGAAACTTTTGTTATTGACCAAATACTTATTTTCCACCATCATTTGCAAATAAATTCATTAAAAATCCAACAATGTGATTTTCTGGAATTTGTTTTCTCATTTTGTCTGTCATAGTTGACGTGTACCTATGATGAAAATTACAGGCCTCTCTCATCTTTTTAAGTGGGAGAACTTGCACAATTGGTGGCTGACTAAATACTTTTTTTCCCCACTGTAAGTCTGTTATGTAACAAAATGTTGAAAAAGTCAAGGGGTCTGAATACTTTACAAATGCACTGAATATATACACAAATTGTAGTTGACCCCGTTCTGGGTTCGGGTCCGGTCCACCAGTTGAGTATGGGAGCTCTAGAGAATGTTTCCCAAAAAATAAAATACTACCTACCTGGTCATGATGGTGTGTGGTCGTGTCTCCTGTAAAGCACGTTGTGACAACTGCTGATGTTAAAAGGGCGTTATAAATTAAATGTGATTGATTAATAATAATTATATGATTGATTGTCTTTGTTTCTCTGTCTCTAGGGTTGCCAGCGGATCGTGGAGGACTGGCAGAGGATCCTAATGGTTCGTTCGCTGGTCATCAACCCCCACGAGGACATGCGGACCTGGCTCAAGTACGCCAGTCTCTGTGGCAAGAGTGGACGTCTGGTGAGTTTACTAGCACAGGAACAGCTAATGGGTAAATGGCCAAATGGTTCATAATAGGGATGTCAGTAAGGGTTATTTTCTCAACCGGTTAGTCTGCACCATCAACCAGTTATCCTTGCAAAAAAGTATAAAAGCATGATTTAATGCACTCCGTTGTTCAGCTCACGTTTTATCAAGTGTAATGTTTCGACCAGGCCTCACAAAGACCTGGACAAAACATTGCACTCAACAAAACAAAGGGAGCGTTCACCGGTATCTGGGTATCGATTTCTCTGTCATAAATGGCTATAAAAACCCTACATGATTTGTGGTGTTTAGTGACCAGCTTGTTGGGCAATTGGCTTGTATTTAATTAATGTATTTCCATTCAGATACAGCTATAAGCTGTTGTATCAGGTTGAGTTCAAGTGATGTCATTGTCAATTGACATTAGTACAACCAGAATGGAATGAATTTGCTAAAACAATTCTTTAAAGGTTTTGTGTCAATCCAAGGGGGAATCTATTCTACTGGATTGGATTCTGCCGTGCAGGCCCAACAGTGATGCTTTGGTGCGAAACTCAACTCTCACTGGAACGACTGTGCAAATGTAACGCACCTCTCAGAAATCGCACTGTTTAGAAACCGTACCTCAAACCTGTTTAATAAAAGTGTCACTGTTTTCCCTCCCTGGTGCCAGTTTTATTGTAAGTGATTGTAGTGGATTGCAGGCAGCCGACCAGCTTTCCAATCGCAACACAACCCTTTCAGAACATTCCAGTATGATGTCAGAGAATTGTAGCGGTTTTCACTCACAGGAGCGAACATCAAACGGCGAGCGAAGAACGTGATTATGGGCAAACGAGCAACGTCTAAAAGAATGCCCACACTGTTCTAAAAGGCGGGCCCCTCCACAGGGGTCAGTGGTTAGTTACGCCCTCCACAGTAGTGTGGTATACTTGAGCTGTTTATTTAGCAAGAGGTTCAAACAGGCCTGGGGAAACCTGGGGGTCTGTGTACGTCTGTACGTCCATGGGAGTTGGGAGGGGATAGGGAAGCTAGGGCAGTGGTTCTCAAACATTTCCTCTGGACTTCAGACTTTCACAATATTGTTGTAGCCCTGAACTAGCAAACCTGATTCACCTAATCAAGGTCTTGATGATTAGTTGACAAGTTGAATTAGGTGTGCTAGCTCTGGAATAGATCAAATATGTGAAATGGCTGGGGGTCCCTGACTAGAGGTCTGAGTGGGCTGTAGGGGACTGACCTTGAGGTTTCGACCGTTGAACCCCTTTGACATTTGCTTCCACTTTGGCGCTGCTCTGCGGCTGACACTATGCTGCTCCTAGCCTTGTGTGTACAGAATGGTGTTGTGCGTGTGTGATGTTGAGTATTATGACAGAAATGATCAATGTCCATAAAAACAAATGAATCTCTTTTCTCCCAGGCGTTGGCCCACAAGACCCTGGTCCTTCTCCTGGGAGTGGACCCCTCGAAGCAGCTGGACCACCCGCTGCCCACCGTCCACCCCCACGTCACCTACGCCTACATGAAGTACATGTGGAAGAGCCAACACAAGGTACAGTAGCTCTACCGTTGTTACAGGGTTTCTCTGCAGCTGAAGGAAAATGTAGTTTTCTCAAATTTGTGTAATGTAAGGAAATGCAGGGCTGTCATGTGTAGTAGGTTCATGAAATATTGTGGACCATTGTGTGTTAGGGAACCAACTGAAATGAAGAGCATAAACATTCCAGGGCAAAAATGGCAGCAGTGACAAATGTCACATCATTCCAACCACGCCATTAGTGTGTAAAGGTGTCTGTCTGTGTGTGTGTGGTCAGGGGGACTGGTCTATATATAACCCCCCCCGACCACACACACACCTCCTCCCCCCTCACACACACCCTTCTACCACGTGTTCCAAAGCTTCTGGCTCTCCCAGTGTGGGTCTCATTAGGGAAGTGTTGGTGCTGCTGGGGCTAAGGCTGGCGTTTACGTAAGTGTGAGCGTGGCGTGCCTGCTGCCCGCCACAGGGCTATACTAGGGCCAGCTGCAGGAGCCGCTCACAAGGCAGGAATCTTAATGACACATGCATCCAAGTCCCTGCCAGAGAGGAGCCATCCATCCCCCATCTGGACTCTTTGGACTGGGACTGGAACAACAAGGTCCTGTTCAGTAGGGAGGGAAACGTTTTGAAACAATTAAACAGTGAGGGAATACCAGATGTTAGGTCCAATAAGAATGCAGATTTTAATTTTCGGTTGCAAAAGGTTTTACGACACCCTGCCCTATTGAACACTGCGACACCCCCCCCCCCCCCCCCCCCCCCCCCCCCCCCCCCAATGGAAGGCAAAAGATTAACACAGTTAAATATAAAGAGAAACACAGTTGAATATCACTCTTGTCAGATGGATGTGCGGGGGCGATATCATAGAGCATAGGCGACATTTGTATTGACAGGAGAGTTGAGTTAAATCCCCGTTTTTGAATGAGAGTTCTTTGACCCCCCTGTTGTTCCTCTGTCCCTCATCAGATCGAAGCCTTCCAGCACATGCAGCACTTTGTCCAGGGGATGCAGCAGCAGGCCCAGCATGCCATCGCCGCTGAGGACCAGCAACACAAGCAGGAGCTCCACAAGCTCATGGCCAGGTCAGGACTCCTACCATACCTACATTAGGGAAAAAACTAATGAACGTCACGCACCCCATTTGTTATTGCAGTGTGTGCTTGAAAAAAATCAGCACACACCTTTTCCCTGCCCTCATGTTCGCTCTCACCTAAAGGGTCACGTACAGAGAGTTCTGCTCTTTCTCCATGACTGTGACCCAACCCTGGTCGTCTACTCTTCCACCATTCCCTCCCTCGCTCCTTGTACTGGCATTAGTTTTGCAAACCCAGACAAGTTTTCTCTCTTTTCATTCTGCGTAATCAGTCACCCCTCAGCCAGCGGGCATCTAGGAATCCAGCTACTTATCTTCAACCAAATGTGGCATTGTGCCCACAGGTACCGGAAACCAGGTGTGTCTCTGGCAAGCTCTGTCAGTCAGCACCTGGCTGTGCCTACACCCACACCCCAGCCCAGCGTGTCCCATACCTGGCCGGGTGTTGCCCTCTGCCTCTTCACCCTGCCTCCTGCCACATTCTACCATCTTCACCTGTTCTCTCTGTAAGAATAGTTGCTGTTTGAATGTTTTGACACAAAATGGCTGAAAAAACTACACCTTAAGTGTGCGGATGCTGAGCACTGGCAGTGGACCAGTAACATGAACAGCTGGTCCAGGATCTGTGCTGTGGTATAGCCTGTGACGTTCAAGGTTAGGACTGGGGATGGACAAGCTGAATTGAGATCAGTTATGGGCAGAAAGGGACTGGAGGTCTTTCTCTATTCCTGTTGGAAGCTCTTCCCATTTGCAACAACACCCTTTTTTGCAACGCTCCCAATCAGGAAGGCTCGTCGCATGTATTTCTATTTGGTGCTTGTGTATACTATCATCGGATAAAAAATGGAAATACTCCCATTTTCAGAATACCTCTGCAAGACATGAAAGCCTAAGGAAGTTGTTTGTATGCTCGATGGGCCCATGAAAATACTTCCAGCACGATCCCCATTCCCCAAAGCTCTCTCCTTCATGGGGTGGACTTCAAATGAGTGCCCAAGGGAAGGGAATATCAGAAATCTCAAAGGGCGATTATTTTTTGGGAAAGTTTACTTCTGACACACCAGGTTTTGTGTGTGTTTGTGTGTGAGGTTTTACTCAGTAAAATGCTGTGTTTCACATTGGCCTCCAAACAAGCACAAGCAGGGGTAAAAATAAAAAAAAGTTGAGCTTTATGGGTTAAATGTGTTGACACGTTGGTCAGCAGACGAGCCTACTTACAGTAAAACATACAGTAAAAACACTCATCTGAGACACGCACACACACACAGGAGACAAGCCTTCTTACCGTAAAACACACAGTAAAACACTCATCTTAGAGGTACACACACATAAATGCACACATACATACACACAGTGTTTCATACCTGCCATTGCAGGTTCTCGTTGTCTGTGGAATGTTCGTCTGCACTGTTTTCTTCCAGACATGCTGACACACTTTCCTGCAAATGGGTTGGCACTGTGGAATGGTGCACATCTGGTCTGTGCAGAAGCACACACCACCATTCTCCACCCCCAAAATAATTCATTGTAATTTCAGCGCTATTTATTTGCATGTTACGAGGCAATGATCATGATAAGACCTGCAACCCTGCAATCTCCGGTCTGAGTTCCTGTGGTAACCGAGAAGCACTTCTGGCACTAGTCGTTCTCCCATGCAGACCGTTTTACTGTGTTTTTCTTGAGGAGAAGCGGTTTGTCAGAGGTGAACTGAACCAGTACTGTATTTTCACATGGAAAAGCACTCCGCAGCATTACGCAATGCTAATGGATAATTTATTAGAAGTGCTTTCTGGAAACAGTGCAGCGTATAGTTAGGAGCTGAGGGATGGATGGCTGCACAGTACTCGCCAGTTCCTGGTCAGATGTGTTATAAACTAATCACGCGCTTGGCCCATGTAAATCAAACACTACTCGATTATTTGACGGTTTGCCTCGAGTGTCTGTGTCTTTTAGGATGATTGATATAGCAAGCACAACCACAGGGAAGACCGACCACGAGGCAATGTTCCCTCACACTCACCACCGATATAAATTTTTATTCCAAAACCTTTCAGTAGCTAATGCGCCGTTGCTTTTAGTAATGAGGCCTAAGTATGATAAATGTCTTTGCAGGATTTCCAAGTCTTCCCATCATTCTCTTCTATTTTAAAGGACTGCACTAGTCAGGTCCCTACACTAGAATGTAATGGAAATGTACTGCATTGAACATCCATTGCCAACACCCCCAAGACAACTTGTGATGACAGTGAGCATAGTGTATAAGATAACTTCCCCAACATATTCTTAAAATTGTTACAACAGAACAGACTTTTCTCATAGAAAAGTTAAAAGTAGATTCGGTTAATATACATTTTCTCCAGAGGTGTCCCACAGATCTTGGCTTTAGGCCTAGGTAAGCATGTCAGTGGCCAAACAAGGCAATAGGGGGTAGAGAGGAGTGTGTGGACGGGCCTAGGCTCCTCTGTGGCATTCGAGAGGGGAGATGGACTGCCAGGTAACAGCATGTGGAAAGCATTCATCACACTAACAAGTGTAACTGTAAGGGCCTGACTTAGTGTAAGAGCTTCATCTCACATACCAGCCCTTATAGCTGTTGACATGAGTGTGTGTTGCCAATGCAATTCATCAGACCCTGATGCAGCCCTGGGCCCGTATTCACAAATGTCTCAGAAAAGGAGTGCTGATCTAGGACCAGGGGCCTCATTTATCAACCGTGTGTAAATTCCATACTCAATTCTGTCATAAGTGGAGATCCTAGGATTTGCGTGCGTAACAAATGATATGCATTTATCAAACTGTCGCTAGCAACATGTACGCATGTTTTCATTGATAAATCAGAGCCATATTATATTTGTGCGGTCATGAACAAGCGCTACAACCCCGCCTGGAAAACGCCCTCCTTTCACCTTTTACGTAACAAAAATGCCTTCATTTGCTGTATGATTTGGAGATGTTGGAACTGGGCCATGATTGTTTCTAAAAGAAAACGCAATGGCAAATTTTATCACATTTCTGTAGAGGAGTGGACAGAATGTTGCAGTGACTTTTCCAAACAAAAAAGACATGCTGTCTAGCAAGTGCTAAACACTGGCCGCACATTCTGCAAGATTGATTGTCCATTCGACCAATTTAAATGTAAATCCTACAGCCCACACTTCTATGCAAATACATGATTGTGTTTCTATCTCCTGCCTTGGTATAGGCTCTGAAATTAAATAGGCTAGGCTATGATGTCGTGCTCCTAATCCTATAGCACAGCACTACTGTAGCCTGACCATACTGTCACAGTCAAGGCTACCGGTCTATTTATTTTTGAGCATGCTTGGCTATTGAATTAGCGATTGATAAATGATAGCCTACTATTTGTTGTGTAGTGGGAATCATTTAAACCAATTATGTCAGAAAAGGAGAGACATGTCCTGCAATATGATAATGATGTAGGCCTATATAACACAATTTAAAATACCAACGGCAAATGTATCTTTTATCACTAGGCCTAGGTTTTGGTTTTATTATTATTATTATCCTTCCTGTGCATCAAACACCTCCCATTTCCCCCAAAGGAACAATCAGCCTATTTGCTTGCTATAGGGTTGATCAACCTTCTTGTGATTTGCGTGGAGATACGCACACTTTCCTGTCAAGTTCAACGTTTATAAATACCAACCTTTGCGGGAAAACTGTCGCATGCAGGTTTTAGAGTATTTTTTGTACTCACTCAACTTGATAAATGAGGCCCCAGGTACCCAGTGTCCATATTAAGGGTATCAGAGTAGGAGTGCTGATTTAGGATCAGTTTTTCCTTTTTAGATCACAAACAAATAAGATTACATGGATAGAAGGGGACCAGATTCTAGATCAGCGCTCCTACTCTGAGATGCTTCATGAGCGTAGCCCGTATTCTGCTGACGATCTATATAGTGACCACGACTGTTTCTCTCCCTATCCCTCTCTCTCTTCCTCCATCCCTCCTTCCCTGCCTTCCTAGGTGCTTCCTGAAGCTGGGTGAATGGCAGCTCAGTCTGCAGGGCATTAACGAGAGCACCATCCCCAAAGTGCTGCAGTACTATAACCACTCCACGGAGCACGACCGCAACTGGTACAAGGTCAGTGACCCACTCACCTCCAACCCCTGTCACTCCCATCAGCATTCATGCTGTGGACCTCATGCTGACTCCTCCATTTACTTAACATAAGGTTTGTATGTTATTAGAGACATGAGTTGATTTGAAAGGAACCAAGGGCACCTTTGGGCTTGTATAGGCCCATGCCCAGACTCCAGGAAAGCCATGCTCTTCCTCTACTGAGTGCCCCCCTTCCTCACATCTCTCAGTAGCTCATTACATAACAACCAAGAACATGACAGACATCTGTTTAGACCCAGAACATTCCCCAGAGGGCCGGACTCCTCCAGGACATCTCACATAGCCAATTATTTTCCAGTTTACTGAAGGATAACGGACTGGAAGTTGATGTGATAAGTGCGATAACATAAGTTCAAACATATGTTTCGACATGTAGACTTGTCATTCTATATCTTCGAATAAAATGTTTTAAATATATATATTTGTTCACCTGGCATACCTTTTTCCGCAGGCCTGGCACGCATGGGCGGTGATGAACTTTGAGGCGGTGCTGCACTACAAGCACCAGAACCAGGGCCGGGATGAAAAGAAGAAGAAGCGCCACATCAGTGGTGCAAGTGCAAACAGCGAGGCCAGCAACAGCGACAGCGAGGTAGACAGCACAGAGCACAGCCCTGTGCCCTCGCCGGGCCAGAAGAAGGCCAACGAGGTGAGGGCGGCGGCCATCTTAGATTCTCCTTCACCATACTCGTCCCCTAACGCTAACCAGCCCTTTCACTATTCACTACCAGACAAATTTCTAACTAACTTGACAGACCTGTGTGGAACTTCAAATGTTGCCTAAATCACAAGATTATGTCAGTGGGAGACATTGAGAGAATGTGTGAGTTAGGATTTGTGACTCACTGGGACTAAGAGACAAAGGAGCAACTTGGTCTTTTGACTATGACTGAATGCCTTGCTTGCTGAAATCAAGGTACAATCAATCTTCCTCTTCCTCATTCTCTCTCTGTTGTTTGGCGAGTGCAGGACCTCTCCAAGACGTTACTCCTCTACACTGTTCCTGCAGTCCAGGGCTTCTTCCGCTCCATCTCCCTCTCCAGAGGGAACAACCTCCAGGACACCCTCAGGTGAGTCCCCACATGGGGCCAGGGCCTGTATTCACAAAGCATCTTAAAAGTATGAGTACTGATCTAGGATCCGTTTTCCCTTTTAGATCATAATGAATAAGATTATATGGACAGGGGGCACCTGATTCTAGATCAGAACTCCTACTCTGAGATGCCCAGAAGTCTGAAAGCCCAAACAGACAACACTGATAGACGCTGAGTTGAAATATGTGGAGAGGAAGCCCACTGGTGGCAGAGAGAAGAACTCCAATTCCAATTTGTGTTGTTGCACGCATTACATTGCTTGGTGTCGTTGAAAATGAGGTTTGAAATTCAGGGAAACTCTGGTTGTTTTTTTCGTCTGAACCTGTCAATAAAGATGCAATAGATGCAAGAGACTGGTTTTGACATGATGCGGTTTTCTTTCTCCAGGGTCCTGACCCTCTGGTTTGACTATGGACACTGGCCTGAAGTCAATGAGGCACTGGTGGAGGGTATCAAAACCATTCAGATAGACACCTGGCTACAGGTACACATCTCACATGCACGTTTTTTGGTTTGCTTTTATTGTTCTGTCTATTGTGATAAGGGTGAATTATTCCCAAGGGCAAGGTTGGTTTTGGGCCATGAATCATCCATAAAATAGTCATTCAACCAAGTCTTACAGGACGACAGTAACTGAATAGTAATGCCACATTGCATTGCTCCGGGATATTAACAAAATTAAGTCTCCCTATCTTGCCCCCACGCCTGCAGGTGATCCCCCAGCTGATTGCCCGCATCGACACACCCCGTGCTCTGGTTGGCCGCCTCATCCACCAGCTGCTCACCGATATTGGGCGCTACCACCCCCAGGTAATGGCATACTGCTGGCACCCAGGCTAGGAGCGATGGCCAAGGACACATATCTCTGAACTAGTACTGCATTGATTAACTCTCCCTCCCTCTCTCTCTCTCTCGCCCTCTCCCCTCTTCTAGGCTTTGATCTATCCGTTGACCGTGGCCTCCAAGTCAACCACCACTGCCCGCCACAATGCTGCTAACAAGATCCTCAAGAACATGTGTGAGCACTGCAACACACTGGTCCAGCAGGCCATCATGGTACGTGATGCCTGTCGGTGTACACACTCTACCTCACAGTACAGCAACAAGTGGTTACAGTCTGTTTTACCATTTAGACATACAGAGCCTTCAGAAAGTATTCACACCCCTTGACTTATTCTACATTTTGTTGTGTTACAACCTGAATTTAAAATGGATTAAATTGAGATGTTTTGTCACTGCATACACAAAATACCCCATAATGTGAAAGTGGAATTATGTTTTTAGAAATTAATAAAAAATTAAAAGCTGGCCTCCCGAGTGGCACAGCGGTCTAAGGCACTGCATCGCCGTGCTAGAGGTGTCACTACAGACCCGGGTTCGATCCCATGAGGTGGCGCACAATTGGCCCAGTGTCGTCCGGGTTAGGGGAGGGTTTGGGCGGCCGCAATGTCCTTGTCCCATCGCGCTCTAGCGACTCCTGTGGTGGGCCGGGCGCATGCACGCTGACCTCAGTCGCCAGTTGTACGGTGTTTTCTCTGACACATTGGTGCGGCTGGCTTCCGGGTTAAGCGAGCAGTGTGTCAAGAAGCAGTGCGGCTTGGCAGGGCCATGTTTCGGAGGACGCATGGCTCTCGACCTTCGCCTCTCCCGAGTCTGTACGGGAGTTGCAGCGATGGGACAAGACTGTAACTACCAATTGGATATCACGAAATTGGGGAGAAAAAGGGGTAAAAAGTACAACAACAACAAAATATTAAAAACTGAAAGGTCTTGAGTCAATAAGTATTCAACCCCTAAATATGTTCAGGAGTAAAACATTTACTTAACAAGTCACATAATAAGTTCAGAGGTTTCAATCTGTGTGTAATAATAGTGTTTAACATTGGTAGATGGGTAATAAGGCATAGAATATCCCTTTGAGCATGGTGAAGTCATTAATTACAATTTGGATGATGTATCAATACACCCAGTCACTACAAAGATACAGGCGTCCTTCTTAACTCAGTTGCCGGAGAGGACGGAAACCGCTCAGGGATTTCACCATGAGGCCAATGGTGACTTTAAAACAGTTACAAAGTTTAATGGCTGTAATAGGAGAAAACTGAGGATGGATCAACAATATTGTAGTTACTCCACAATACTAACCTAATTGACAGAGGGAAAAGAAGGAAGCCTGTATTCCAAAACATGCATCCTGTTTGCAACAAGGCACTAAAGTAATACTGCAAAAAATACAAACAGAATACAAAGTGTTATGTTTAGGGCAAATCCAATACAACACATTACTGAGTACCACTCTCCATATTTTCAAGCATAGTGGTGGCTGCATCATGTTATGGGCATGCTTGTAATTGTTAAGGACTTTGGAGTTTTTCAGGATATAAAGGAAACGGAATGGAGCTATGCACAGGCAAAATCCTAGAGGAAAACCTGGTTCAGTCTGCTTTCCACCAGACACTGGGAGATGAATTCACCTTTCAGCAGGACAATAACCTTAAAACACAAGGCCAAATCTACACTGGAGTTGCTTACCAAGAAGACAGTGAATGTTCCTGAGTGGCCGAGTTACGGTTTTTACTAAATCTACTTGAAAATCTATGGCAAGACCTGAAAATGGTTATCTAGCAATGATCAACAACGAATGTTGCACAATCCAGGTGTGGAAAGCTCTTTGAGACTTACCCAGAAAGTCTCACAGCTGTATTTGCTGCCAAACGTGCTTCTACAAAGTATTGACTCAGGGATGTGAATACTTATGGTAATGATATATTTCTGTATTTCATTTTCAATAAATCTGAATTATTTTCTAAAAACATGTTTTGACTTTGTCATTATGGGGTGTTGTGTGTAAAAAAAAAAAAAAATTTAATACATTTTGAATTCAGGCTGTAACACAACAAGATGTGGAATAAGTCAAGGGGTATGGATACTTTCTGAAGCCACTGTATCAGCACTGTATGTATCTCGTCCGTCCGTCCCCCGTCCCCTGTCCCCCCATTTGAAGAAATCATAAGAAGGCCTTAAATCCAGAATGTTAATGTATCCTGTTTCCGAAGGCCTGAGTCACTTCCTGTCTCCCCAGGTGAGCGAGGAGCTGATCCGGGTGGCCATTCTGTGGCACGAGATGTGGCACGAGGGACTGGAGGAGGCCTCCCGCCTCTACTTTGGCGAGCGTAATGTCAAGGGCATGTTCGCCGTGCTGGAGCCCCTTCACGCCATGATGGAGAGGGGCCCGCAGACCCTCAAAGAGACCTCCTTCAACCAGGTCCGTCTTTGTATTCTTTTGTCTTTTTTAAAGTTATGTTTGTAGTCGTCCTAATGTATTTTGTCTTATTTTTAACATTTCATTTACCAAGTTACAATGATTGACAAATGTGCGCGTATCTTGTAACTTTGCATAAATCACATGTACAGTCGTGGTCAAAAGTTTTGAGAATGACACAAATACTAATTTTCACAAAGTCTGCTGCCTCAGTTTTGATGATGGCAATTTGCATATACTCCAGAATGTCATGAAGAGTGATCAGATGAATTGCAATTAATTGCAAAGTCCCTCTTTGCCATGAAAATGAACTTAATCCCCAAAAAACATTTCCACTGCATTTCAGCCCTGCCACAAAAGGACCAGCTGACATCATGTCAGTGATTCTCTCGTTAACACAGGTGAGAGTGTTGACGAGGACAAGGCTGGAGATCACTCTGTCATACTGATTGAGTTAGAATAACAGACTGGAAGCTTTAAAAGGAGGGTGGTGCTTGAAATCATTGTTCTTCCTCTGTTAACCATGGTTACCTGCAAGGAAACACATGCCGTCATCATTACTTTGCACAAAAAGTGCTTCACAGGCAAGGATATTGCTGCTAGTAAGATTGCACCTAAATCAACCATTTATCGGATCATCAAGAACTTCAAGGAGAGAGGTTCAATTGTTGTGAAGAAGGCGTCAGGGCGCCCAAGAAAGTCCAGCAAGCGCCAGGACCGTCTCCTAAAGTTGATTCAGCTGCGGAATCGGGGCACCACCAGTGCAGAGCTTGCTCAGGAATGGCAGCAGGCAGGTGTGAGGGCATCTGCACGCAAAGTGTGGCGAAGACTTTTGGAGGATGGCCTGGTGTCAAGAAGGGCAGCAAAGAAGCCACTTCTCTCCAGGAAAAACATCAGGGACAGACTGATATTCTGCAAAAGGTACAGGGATTGGACTGCTGAGGACTGGGGTAAAGTCATTTTCTCTGATGAATCCCCTTTCCGATTTTTTGAGGCATCCGGAAAACACCTTGTCCGGAGAAGACAAGGTGAGCGCTACCATCAGTCCTGTGTCATGCCAACAGTAAAGCATCCTGAGACCATTCATGTGTGGGGTTGCTTCTCAGCCAAGGGAGTGGGCTCACTCACATTTTTGCCTAAGAACACAGCCATGAATAAAGAATGGTACCAACACATCCTCCGAGAGCAACTTCTCCCAACCATCCAAGAACAGTTTAGTGACGACCAATGCCTTTTCCAGCATGATGGAGCACCTTGCCATAAGGCAAAAGTGATAACTAAGTGGCTCGGGGAACAAAACATCGACATTTTGGGTCCATGGCCAGGAAACTCCCCAGACCTTAATCCCATTGAGAACTTGTGGTCGATCCTCAAGAGGCGGGTGACAAACAAAAACCCACAAATTCTGACAAACTCCAAACATTGATTATGCAAGAATGGGCTGCCATCAGTCAGGATGTGGCCCAGAAGTTAATTGACAGCATGCCAGGGCGGATTGCAGAGGTCTTGAAAAAGAAGGGTCAACACTGCAAATATTCACTCTTTGCATAAACTTAATGTAATTGTCAATAAAAGCCTTTGACACTTATGGAATGCTTGTAATTATACTTCAGTATACCATAGTAACATTTGACAAAAATATCTCATAACACTGAAGCAGCGAACTTTGTGAAGACCAATACTTGTGTCATTCTCAAAACATTTGACCACGACTGTAGATGTCAATTGGAGACATTGAGGAAATGTTTGAGTTGATAGTTAGGATTTGTCCCTCAGTCAAATGACCAATTGACAATGATGTGTAGTGCTCTTTGACCTGGATTATAGGTAAATGGCTGGACAGGTGAAGTGAATTGGCTGTGGTTCTATGTGTTATGACAGGCCTACGGGAGGGACCTCATGGAGGCCCAGGATTGGTGCAGGAAGTACATGCGCTCGGGAAACGTGAAGGACCTGACCCAAGCATGGGACCTTTACTACCACGTTTTCAGACGGATCTCTAAGCAGCTACCACAGGTGAGAGAAGAACACCAACCTACTCACACTCTGTTCAAGTCAGTTTGGGCTGCCTCCTAACTCAACACTACTGTGTGTAGCTAACGTAAATCCTACACTGAGGTCAATTGGAGACCTGCTTAGTCTGAACATAAGAATCTCTCTCATCTTCGGATTCAGCCCTTAGTTGGTTGTGCCAGTTGAAACAGTAAAGCATTCAGTGAAAAGAGTCAAGTTGGCATACAACCAGTTATGTGTGGGTACTGTACATTGCTACATTCACATCTTTCATCAGAGCTATGAGATGTTATTTTGCTACTCTTGTTAAGGCCCACATTAATTTACCCTGTGACACTGTAAGCTGATATATCTAGGTCATGTCAGCATCCTAAAACAATGCAACCCATTCAGCGATGATCCTGAAGTGGCTGTTAGTGGAAAATAAATAGAGCTTCCTAGATGTTGCGTCTGTCTCCGTTGTTGTTCCAGGTTAAGCCAAATGTCTTCTCATCACTACAGTATTTCACTGTAATAGGCCAACAATAGCAAAACTCCTTCAGAGTCAAAGGAAAAGACTACACCCGTGTGCTAAACAGGGACAGTATTGTATCCTTTATTTATACAGGTGAACCCATTGAGATTAAGACACCTTTTCTAGGAGGACCTGTCCAGACAGAGCAAGAGCGAAAGAGAGCGACGGTTAAAGTGGTGACAGTGAAAGATGGAGTGAGAGACTGAAAGAGGCAGATTGACTGGGGGAACACGACACAATGAACCCTTTCATCTGCCAGTAATCTGATCTCCCTCTCTCTCCCCTCATCTATCCATTATTTGATCCATTGATCCATCCCTCTCCCATCCATTCCTTCCTGTGTCCCCAGCTGACCTCCTTGGAGCTGCAGTACGTGTCCCCCAAGCTGCTGATGTGCAGGGACCTGGAGCTGGCCGTGCCGGGGACCTACGACCCCAACCAGCCCATCATCCGCATCCAGTCCATCGCCCCCTCGCTGCAGGTCATCACCTCCAAGCAGCGGCCCCGTAAACTCACCATCATGGGTAAGACAACCACATCACCTCCAAACAATGCCCCCGCAGACTCACTTACATGGGTAAGACAACCAACCACGAGGCCAACAATATATTATATTTTGTTGGTCTTTTATTTATCCTAAATTTGAGCAGGGGGTTCCATTGGATTGAGTGGTACTGTGATATTTATGAAGAAATTCAGTATATAGTAGCTACTTCTGTTTCAGATGTACAGTATCTCACAAAAGTGAGTACACCCCTCACATTTTTGTAAATATTTGAGTATATCTTTTCATGTGACAACACTGAAGAAGTGACACTTTGCTACAATGTAAAGTAGTGAGTGTACAGCTTGTATAACAGTGTAAATTTGCTGTCCCCTCAAAATAACTCAACACACAGCCATTAATGTCTAAACCGCTGGCAACAAAAGTGAGTACACCCCGAAGTGAACATTTCCAAATTGGGCCCAATTAGCCATTTTCCCTCCCCGGTTTCATGTGACTCGTTAGTGTTACAAGGTCTCAGGTGTGAATGGGGAGTAGGTGTGTTAAATTTGGTGTCATCGCTCTCACATTCCCTCATACTGGTTACTGGAAGTTCAACATGGCACCTCATGGCAAAGAACTCTCTGAGGATCTGAAAAAAAGAATTGTTGCTCTACATAAAGATGGCCTGGGCTATAAGAAGATTGCCAAGACCCTGAAACTGAGCTGCAGCACGGTGGCCAAGACCATACAGCGGTTTAACAGGACAGGTTCCACTCAGAACAGGCCTCGCCATGGTCGACCAAAGAAGTTGAGTGCACGTGCTCAGCGTAATATCCAGAACTTGTCTTTGGGAAATATACGTATGAGTGCTGCCAGCATTGCTGCAGAGGTTGAAGGGGTGGGGGGTCAGCCTGTCAGTGCTCAGACCATACGCCGCACACTGCATCAAATTGGTCTGCATGGCTGTCGTCCCAGAAGGAAGCCTCTTCTAAAGATGATGCACAAGAAAGCCCGCAAACAGTTTGCTGAAGACAAGCAGACTAAGGACATGGATTACTGGAACCATGTCCTGTGGTCTGATGAGACCAAGATAGTGGTCCCCTGTAGCTCAGTTGGTAGAGCATGGCGCTTGCAACACCAGGGTTGTGGGTTCGTTTCCCACGGGGGGGCATTATGAAAATGTATGCACTCACTGACTGTAAGTCGCTCTGGATAAGAGCGTCTGCTAAATGACTAAAATGTAAATGTAAATGTAATAAACGTATTTGGTTCAGATGGTGTCAAGCGTGTGTGGCGGCAACCAGGTGAGGAGTACAAAGACAAGTGTGTCTTGCCTACAGTCAAGCATGGTGGTGGGAGTGTCATGGTCTGGGGCTGCATGACGGCTGCCGGCACTGGGGAGCTACAGTTCATTGAGGGAACCATGAATGCCAACATGTACTATGACATACTGAAGCAGAGCATGATCCCCTCCCTTCGGAGACTGGGCCGCAGGGCAGTATTCCAACATGATACCGACACCAAACACACCTCCAAGACGACCACTGCCTTGCTAAAGAAGCTGAGGGTAAAGGTGATGGACTGGCCAAGCATGTCTCCAGACCTAAACCCTATTGAGCATCTGTGGGGCATCCTCAAACGGAAGGTGGAGGAGTGCAAGGTCTCTAACATCCACCAGCTCCGTGATGTCGTCATGGAGGAGTGGAAGAGGACTCCAGTGGCAATCTGTGAAGCTCTGGTGAACTCCATGCCCAAGAGGGCTAAGGCAGTGCTGGGAAATTATGGTGGCCACAAAAAATATTGACACTTTGGGCCCAATTTGGATATTTTCACTTAGGGGTGTACTCACTTTTGTTGCCAGCGGTTTAGACATTAATGGCTGTGTGTTGTGTTATTTTGAGGGGACAGCAAATGTACACTGTTATACAAGCTGTACACTCACTACTTTACATTGTAGCAAAGTGTCATTTCTTCAGTGTTGTCACATGAAAAGATATACTCAAATATTTACAAAAATATGAGGGGTGTACTCACTTTTGTGAGATACTGTATTTTTTATCTATTCGATAATGAACTGCTTTGTTCTTATGTCTTTTAATACTACATAACCGACCTGCTGTCGTACTTAAGAATATGCTCATTCTAAAGCATATGCCCTGCAGCAACTTGAGTCACATAATCACCTTACTGTGTCCATTACACCCATAGAAATAAGAATGAATAGAAAGGGCGTCTCCATTCAAATCAATGATGATGGCACAATGGGTGGACTGGCAGCCATTTTGAGTGTACCAATGCAAGGAAGTAAAAACAGGAAGTGTACCCTTTAATCTGTGCTGTGATTTGTTGAGTCATCTCAACTGGCATTACAAAAAATGTATTCCATTGTCATGTGCCACATCAGTTAGCATCATTTGAATGAACATTCTACATTACCATGGCAATTCAGCATCAGTTGATAGAATATTCAGAAATACCATGGAAATTATTGTGTCATAATACCAGGCAGCCATTGCGAGGGTACCGATAAGTTTAGCAGTCAATTGCCAGTGCTTCCAAGCCCATTCTATTAATTCTTATTTCTATGATTACACCCACCATTTACCATTAACGGGAATTAATCAAGAGTGAATAGTATTAGTGGGGACAGTGGACTACAGACCCATTGTCCTAGTGCGTCCACTGGGAGAATTGGCTAACTACACAAGTATGACCATCATAGTAGTAGGGGTATTCAATTAAAAATGTTCCCATTGTTTAAAGATGAGTGTCTAGGGCTATCAAACGATAATAACATTTAATCAAGTTAATCGCAGGATTTCCTGTGATTAATCTCACATTTTGAATTTGCTCAGATTAAGCTGTATTAAGATTTTCATACAAAAAATTGTACAAGAATATTGACGTCTTGATTTTGTCTAAAGTAACGGTTAACAAAATTGGATACATTTAACCTCAATGTCAACTTGTTTTCACAGTGCATCATTGTTTTTAGCTGTATAGATTCTGTATTTGGGATGTTTTTAGTGTATTTTGAACACTTTCAGACAATGCGATTAATCCAAATAAAAAAAACGTGTGCACTAAAATAACAAAAAGTTAACTTGCGTTAACTGATTAGAGCTCTGACAGCCCTAGATCGATGATAAATGCAAACATGCTGTCTTTTGGAGTAACTTACTGAATCAGAAGTAGAATCAATATGTGGTATGTGTCATGGCATCTAACTGTGTATAATGCCTTTATTATCCTCTGCAGTTTAGCAATGTGATAACTAAGGATTATCCCGCAACAGAATTCCATCATATTATTTTTTATCCCACTGCCATTGTAAAGTGATAAACATAATTTTACACTAATTCGCATGCATAGGAGTTCAGGGGCTGTATGTATCAACAAGCGTCTTAGAGCAGGAGTGCTGATCTACTATCAGGCCATGCAATCTTATTCATTACGATCTAAAAGGCTAAACTGATCCTAGATCAATACTCCTACTCTCAGACGCCAGTTGAATGAAAGCCACTGTCTGTGAGTTGACCTGTACTGTGGTGTTGTGGTGCCCCCTGCAGGCAGCAATGGCCATGAGTTTATGTTCCTCCTGAAGGGCCATGAGGACCTGCGGCAGGACGAGAGGGTCATGCAACTCTTTGGCCTGGTCAACACACTGCTGGCCAATGACCCAGCCTCTCTACGCAAGAACCTCAGGTAGATGGGACACATTTCAAGATTAATGGCTGGATTATTGCCACTGTGTGTGTGTGATTTTCGGTGTCTGCTGTGCTTCTGTAAAAAATATAATTTCCCAGTTGATAACCAAAATATCATTTTCTGTGTTTGTGTGGTGTGTCCCTCTCTCAGCATCCAGCGCTACGCAGTGATTCCCCTGTCCACCAACTCTGGTCTAATTGGCTGGGTGCCTCACTGCGACACCCTCCACGCCCTCATCAGAGACTACCGCGAGAAGAAGAAGATCCTGCTCAACATCGAGCACCGAATCATGCTCAGGGTAAGAACCAGTAACGATCACATTAGCAGTTCACACAAACCCTGTTCAGAATGGTCCTTTTCAAACATGGGGTACACTGAACAGAGCACTTACTATTACTAACCATCTTTGATTAGCCATGAAGTCAAAGGGAATATATACTTTTATACACAAAATATAATATGAATGTTGTTACTTGTCCACTACTCTTAAATGTCAACTCTCAAGTCAAAAAAATAAACAGACAATAAATTATTTATCCGTGAATTGAAAAATCCATAAACTATTTGACAATAAAGTGCTATTTTACTACCAAAGGTTGTGCCATCTTGATGTTGTGGTGTTTGTATGTTTATTAGATGGCTCCAGACTATGACCACCTGACCCTGATGGAGAAGGTGGAGGTGTTTGAGCATGCTGTCAACAACACGGCCGGAGACGACCTGGCCAAGCTGCTGTGGCTGAAGAGCCCCAGCTCTGAGGTAAAACCCTGTTTCCACCCTACATACAGTTATCATAAGACTGACATACCCCTGTTTACCACCCTACATACAAAATCAAATCAAATCAAATGTATTGGTCACATACACATGGTTAGCAGATGTTATTGCGAGTGTAGCGAAATGCTTGTGCTTCTAGTTCCGACAATGCAGCAATATCTAGCAAATAATATCTAACAGTTCTACAACAAATAACTAATACACACAAATCTAAGTAAAGGAATGGAAAAAGAATATATAAATATATGGATGTGCAATGTCATTGTCAGAGCGGCATAGGCTAAGATGCAATAGATAGTGTAGAATACAGTATATACAGCTGAAGTCAGAAGTTTACATACACTTTAGCCAAATACATTTAAACTCAGTTTTTCACAATTCCTGACATTTAATCCTAGTAAAAATTCCCTGTCTTAGGTCAGTTAGGATCACCACTTTGTTTTAAGAATGTGAAATGTCAGAATAATAGTAGAGAATGATTTATTTCAGCTTTTATTTCTTTCATCACATTCCCAGTGGGTCAGTTTACATACACTCAATTAGTATTTGGTAGCATTGCCTTTAAATTGTTTAACTTGGTTCAAACGTTTTGGGTAGCCTTCAACAAGCTTCCCACAATAAGTTGGGTGAATTTTGGCCCATTCCTCCTGACAGAGCTGGTGTAACGGAGTTAGGGTTGTAGGCCTCCTTTCTCGCACACGCTTTATCAGTTCTGCCCACACATTTTCTATAGGATTGAGGTCAGGGCTTTGTGATGGCCACTCCAATACCTTGACTTTGTTGTCCTTAAGCCATTTTGCCACAACTTTGGAAGTATGCTTGGGGTCATTGTCCATTTGGAAGTCCCATTTGCAACCAAGCTTTAACTTCCTGACTGATGTTTTGAGATGTTGCTTCAATATATCAACATAATTTTCCTTCCTCATGATGCCATCTATTTTGTGAAGTGCACCAGTCCCTCCTGCAGCAAAGCACCCCCACAGCATGATGCTGCCACCCCCATGCTTCACAGTTGGGATGGTGTTCTTCGGCTTGCAAGCATCCCCATTTTTCCTCCAAAAATAACGATGGTCATTATGGCCAAACAGTTTTATTTTAGTTTCATCAGACAAGAGGACATTTCTCAAAAAAGTATGATCTTTGTCCCCATTTGCAGTTGCAAACCGTAGTCTGGCTTTTTTATGGCGGTTTTGGAGCAGTGGCTTCTTCCTTGCTGAGCGGCCTTTCAGGTTATGTCGATATAGGACTCGTTTTACTGTGGATATAGATACTTTTGTACCTGTTTCCTCCAGCATCTTCACAAGGTCCTTTGCTGTTGTTCTGGGATTGATTTGCACCAAAGTACATTCATCTCTAGGGGACAGAACGCATCTCCTTCCTGAGTGGTATGACGGCTGCGTGGGCCAATGGTGTTTATGCTTGCGTACTATGGTTTTACAGATAAACGTGGTACCTTCAGGCGTTTGGAAATTGCTCCCAAGGATGAACCAGACTTGTGGAGGTCTACAATTTTTTTTCTGAGGTATTTGCTGATTACTTTTGATTTTCCCATGATGTCAAGCAAAGAGGCACTGAGTTTGAAGGTAGGCCTTGAAATACATCCACAGGTATACCTCCAATTGACTCAAATGATGTCAATTAGCCTATCAGAAGCTTCTAAAGCCATGACATCATTTTCTGGAATTTTCCAAGCTGTTTAAAGGCACAGTCAACTTAGTGTATGTAAACTTCTGACCCACTGGAATTGTGATACAGTGAATTATAAGTGAAATAATCTGTCTGTAAACAATTGTTGGAAAAATTACTCGTGTCATGCACAAAGTAGATGTCCTAACCGACTTGCCAAAACTATAATTTGTCAACAAGAAATGTGTGGAGTGGTTGAAAAACGTGTTTTAATGACTCCAACCTAAGTGTATGTAAACCTCAGACTTCAACGGTACATATGAGATGGGTAATGCAAGATATGTAAACGTTATTAAAGTGGCATTATTAAAGTGACTAGTGTTCCATTTTTACAGTGGCCAGTGATTTTCAAGTCTGTATGTAGGCAGCAGCCTCTCTGTGCTAGTGCTAGCTGTTTAACAGTCTGATGGCCTTGAGATAGAAGCTGCTTTTCAGTCTCTCGGTCCCAGCTTTGATGCACCTGTACTGACCTCGCCTTCTGGATGATAGCTTTTTGGCCTTCCTGTGACATCGGGTGCTGTAGGTGTCCTGGAGAGCAAGTAGTTTGCCCCCGGTGATGTGTTGTGCAGACCGCACCACCCTCTGGAGAGCCCTGCGGTTGTGGGCGGTGCAGTTGCCGTACCAGGCGGTGATACAGACCGACAAGATGCTCTCAATTGTGCATCTGTAAAAGTTTGTGAGGGTTTTAGGTGACAGGCCAAATATCTTCAGCCTCCTGAGGTTGAAGAGACGCTGTTGCGCCTTCTTCACCACACTGTCTTCTCCACTGCTGTCCCGTCGATGTGGATAGGGCGGTACTCCCTCTGCTGTTTCCTGAAGTCCACGATCATCTCCTTTGTTTTGTTGACGTTGAGTGAGAGGTTATTTCCCTTGCCCTCACCTCCTCCCTGTAGGCTGTCTCATCGTTGTTGGTAATCGAGCCTACTACTGTTGTGTCGTCTGCAAACTTGATGATTGAGTTGGAGGCGTGCATGGCTACGCAGTCATGGGTGAACAGGGAGTGCAGTTGTCATAAGACTGACATAGCACATCATTCGGTGTTATAGCTAACAACTGACCACTAACCGTACATAAGGCTGCCATAAGACTAATTAAAGGTGGTATCTGCAACAATTTAGCAATCATTACCTCATGGTTCTTTGAACGATGTGGCTCAGAAATACCTGAAATATCTTAGTACTCCTTTCTGTTGCAGGGACGTAAAGTAGTAATGTTTACGCCTGGTCTTCTTCTCAGGTTTGGTTTGACAGGAGGACCAACTACACACGCTCCCTGGCTGTGATGTCAATGGTGGGCTACATCCTGGGCCTGGGAGACAGGTGAGGCTCTCCACCAATAAAAGTTCAGGAGTGGTAGCACATAAGATGTTTCAAAAGTGAAATCATCTTGCTTTGCAGGTGTATTGGAACAGATTTATTGAACAGTTATTCAACAGAAAGATTATGCTATACACAACATACAAAGTATCAAATTGTTATTTTCGTTCATGGGGTCGAAACATTAGCATGAAAATAAATATGTGCTCCAGTGTGTAGGCTACCCTCACTCAGTTTCTCTCCATTTCCTCTACAGGCATCCATCCAACTTGATGTTGGACAGACTAAGTGGCAAGATCCTCCACATTGATTTTGGGGATTGCTTTGAGGTGAGCATGGGCCTCCGATTTACATGAACCTGACTGAATGTACACTATATATACAAAAGTATGTGGACACCCCTTCAAATTAGTGGATTCGGCTATTTCAGCCACACCCGTTGCTGACAGGTATATAAAATCGAGCACACAGCCATGCAATCTCCATAGACAAACATTGGCAGTAGAATGGCCTTACTGAAGAGCTCAGTGACTTTCAATGTGGCACCGTCATAGGATGCCATCTTTGCAACAACTCAGTTCGTAACATTTCTGCCCTGGTAGAGCTGCCCGGGTCAACTGTAAGTGCTGTTATTGTGAAGTGGAAACGTCAACGAGCCACAACGGCTCAGACGCAAAGTGGTAGGCCACACAAGCTCACAGAATGGGACCGGCGAGTGCAAAGCACGTAGTGTGTAAAAATCGTCTGTCCTCAGTTGCAACACTCACTACCGAGTTCCACACTGCCTCTGGATGCAACGTCAGCACAAGTACTGTTCTACGGGAACTTCATGAAATGGGTTTCCATGGCCGAGCAGCCGCAAACAAGCCTAAGATCACCATGCGCAATGCCAAGCGTCGGCTGGAGTGGTGTAAAGCTCTCCGCCATTGGACTCTGGAGCAGTGGAAACGCGTTCTCTGGAGTGATGAATCCCACTTCACTATCTGGCAGTCCGACGGACGAATCTGGGTTTGGCGGATGCCAGGAGAACACTACATGCCCCAATGCATAGTGCCAACTGTAAAGTTTGGTGGAGGAGGAATAATGGTCTGGGGCATATCGTTTTTCATGGTTCAGGCTAGGCCCCTTAGTTCCAGTGAAGGGAAATCTTAAAGCAAAAGCATACAATGACATTCAAGATGATTCTTTGCTTCCAACTTTGTGGCAACAGTTTGGGGAAGGCCCTTTCCTGTTTCAGCATGACAATGCCCCCGTGCACAAAGCGAGGTCCATACAGAAATGGTTTGTTGAGATCAGTGTGGAAGAACTTGACTGGCCTGCACAGAGCCCTAACCTCAACCCCATCGAACACCTTTTGGATGAATTGGAATGCCGACTGCGAGCCAGGCCTAATCGCCCAACATTAGTGCCCGACCTCACTAATGATCTTGTGGCTGCATGGAAGCAAGTCCCCGCAGCAATATTCCAACATCTAGTGGAAAGCCTTCCCAGAAGAGAGTGGAGGCTGTTATAGCAGCAAATGGGGGACCAACTCCATATTACTGCCCATGATTTTGGAATGAGATGTTCGACAAGCAGGTGTCCACATACTTTTGGTCATGTAGTGTATCTGTAAACGTTGTCAATGTTTTCTAAATGTTTTCCCACTACAGGTTGCCATGACCAGGGAGAAATTCCCGGAGAAGATTCCTTTCAGACTGACAAGAATGCTGACGAACGCCATGGAGGTAGGAGGAAGAACTCCCAATGGTTTTTAATTGATATACTCTTGTCAATAGTTCACGTTTGCCTCTGTCATAGAAGCCACTTAATCCTGCAACTCAATTGAGGGTTTGCACTGCAGACTTGAGGAGTGAAGCAAAGCAAAGATTTCCGGCTGGCACCCAGGATACAATTATCTATCAGAACAGACAATAAAACTCCCCTCTCTGTTCTGCCAATCAATGTCTCCCACCCCCTGTGTGTGTTGGTCAGGTGACAGGGCTGGATGGGAACTACAGGATCACATGTCACACGGTGATGGAGGTGCTGAGGGAGCACAGGGACAGTGTCATGGCCGTACTGGAGGCCTTCGTCTACGACCCACTGCTCAACTGGAGACTGATGGACAGTAAGGAAACCACTCCGAAACACCTCAAAACATCTTGAAAGTATCTTAAACACTTAAATACCTTTAAGACATCTGAAAAAACGACCTGGCATACAATTGAGACCTCTCTCTTTCTTTGTGGTCCACAGCGAACACCAAGGGAAACAAGCGATCCAGGACCAGAACGGACTCCTATACTGCTGGACAATCCGTCGGTGAGTGTGAAACAAGATGTCCATTTTGTGTCACTAACAACATTTGGAATGTTTCCAGACTGAATGCATCTTTCTGTCTGTTGTCCAATGCAGAAGCGCTGGAGGGGATCGACCTTGGCGAGACCACACACAAGAAACCAGGAACCACCGTGCCTGAATCCATTCATTCCTTCCGTGAGTCTTTGGCTCAAGCCAGTACTGTAAAAATGCGTTAGGTTAACATTCCTAGTAGTTTCTATGGTGGCTATGTTTGTTAACACTAGAAATGCTGGGCCTCGAGGGACCCCACTTCGAGCCAATGACTTGTCTTTTGGACTTCAACATTCTAACAGTCTATTAAATACATTTCATATGCTATCGGAAAAAATATCATTTGGTTGTGTTTATGAAGGTCTTAGGTAACATTAGAATATGAAGAACATAATAGCATTTTCAATACTTTATTTTACTGTAGGCTTTAAAATGAAAAAACACTACAAATGTTTTCCATCACAAAGAAATCTATTATAATTTTGTTTTGGCATGTCTTAAGAAACATTATGGAAATAAGAAAATGTATTTCAAAGAACAGAATAGCATATTTGATGTTACTAGTCTTTGCTTCGTAGCCTGGGCTATATGCTGCCGCATGCTAACGTGTGGGGCGCATAGAACAATGATTATTCTTGGAAAAAGTGGTCTTTTGAAATACATTTTTTGTTATTTGGCAAAGATACGTGTTTTAGAAACTGCTCTTTCTGCTCTGTCTGATACTATATAGAAATCAAAACGTCTTACCTGAATCTAATCTAACTAACTGTAAGAGGATTTGAAAAAGTTTATTTTTGGCACTCAGTTTCCCAGCCTCTGTGTCAATTCCAAGCTGCTCATCTCTTCATATACAATTTGACAATTGATCATATTTTCACCCATCAGACTATTGTCAATTTAATCTTGTCTTTTGGCTAATGTGTGAAATTAGTATCGATATAGTTTAGGTGTAATTTCGATGGGCCATCAGCTGCGCAGGCTGACTGGCGAATTCTGTATGTGATATCTAAATTTTAACAACATACCTGTGTTAAATATACATATTTAGGATAAGTCAAGGACGGGGGTGAGGGACATGACTAAAAATGGCAGAGTAATTAAAAATGTAAATGTGTTTTGTCAACATGACGCTCTCTGCGCTTCTAGTGTTAAAACACAGCTATGAATAGTTGCTGAGTGGCATGCCTTTGCAAGTTTCTATTGGTTTGTCTTTCCTCAACCAAGGATTGTGGTGGATATTGGTATGTGGAAGTACTATCTTTGCTTGATGTTGGCCCAAATGTTTCCTCAAATGGCTACTGGTACACATATTAGTATGTCAGTCATCACAATGTGTTCCTGTCCCATCAGTTGGAGATGGCACTGTGCAGCCTGAGGCCCTGAATAAAAAGGCTATCCAGATTATCAACAGAGTACGAGACAAGCTGACTGGTAAGTCTTTCACTACACATGTAACTAGAAATGCTAGGATATGCTAGCATATTAGCATTCATTGACTAATATGTGTTGCTTTTCCCCATCAGGGCGTGATTTCTCACACGATGAGACTCTAGACGTGCCAACCCAAGTGGAGCTCCTTATCAAGCAGGCGACGTCGCACGAGAACCTGTGCCAGTGTTATATTGGATGGTCAGTATGATCTGTTTGTTGTTAGTTAGCATCAGTTAGCCTACTGTTAGTTAGCATCAGTTAGACTAATACTGTAAGTTGGCATCAGTTAGCCTAGTACTCTTAGTGAGCATCTGTTAGCATAGTACTGTTAGTTAGCATCAGTTAGCCTAGTACTATTAGTTAGCATTAGTTAGCCTAGCCTGTGCTACATTGGCTGGTGACCATGATCAGTAACTGTTAGTTCGCCTCAATTAGCCTAGCCTGGGTGCCAGACTGTTTCGGCATTCAACAATGCTATGGCACTGCCTTGCTGTTTGACAAGACAACTATAAGTTGCCTAAAGCAGGATCAGACAGGCACCCAAACTACAAACCAGTGTTTGTGTTGGGGAAAACATTAGTGACTTATGTTGGGAAAATTTTAAACAATGGTCACTAAACTTGTATTGTTTTTCATCCCCCAGGTGTCCATTTTGGTAGAGGAGCTACATTGGTGATCCAACTTGTGGTCACACTTCTTTTACACAGCCTGTTTTCATCAAGTAACCATGAACTTACTTGGTAACTATGTACTTAAATGGTTAAGTCATGAGAGATGGTCCATGGCGAGGAATTACATTTCCAAAGCTCTTTATCAAATTATGCCATGCTGACATTCACTTAGCTAATTGCTTCCAATTTGGTTCCCTCATTTGTGTATTTTCAAAGAAGGAGAAATCGGGTGGGCTCGAGGAGCGCTGATTTAAAACAGAAAAAAGTAAAGAAGAAGCCTCCGATAATGAAATTAGCGCCAAATCCTTAGTTTTAAGTAATGACTCATTAAGCATTTAATCGCAGGATGTATTACCATGTAAAGGTAACAGCTACAACTATGTACAAGGTAACAACCTGGGCCTCGTTTCCCAGTTGGGATGTAACTTAAGTATTACAATGATCGTGTCAGATGCATCGTTATTTATGAGCCACATTTTGAAGTGTTTCCCAAACAAGCACGTAGAGAGAACGTTCACTAAGTGCGTCGTTAGACCATGTGACGATACTCATAGGATCGAAAGAAAAGCATCTCTGCTCTCGGATCAGCTTTCTCCATTCAAATCTTACCTTAGCATTAAAATTGTTACACAATACTGATGACGGATCAGCTACTAGATATTACCTCCTATGGCTGCAAATATTGAGGCGGCTAATTCTAAATACTTACCCTATAATAATGCACAAAATCAAGATGTGGCACATGCGCACGTTGTTACACATTTTTTAAATATATTGTAGCAAAAGTTATAGACAGTAGCCTAGAATTGGCTAAATAGAATTCAATTGATTGAACATAACATTTATTTCAATGTAGCCTATAATGTATTTATATTTTGCAGTCATCTCAGTTTTCATTTCAAGCATTGTTTTATTCTTCGCTTGTTTGTAACAATTGCAAAGACATTGGCAACTTTGTATTTGTAGTCAACTTTGTTCTGACGTTATTTGCGGTCACAGAGAGACAGATAGAAACATCTTGATTCTGTGTTTTTGCGGAGATCTTCTGTGTATAAAGTGATGTGGAATGGCAAAGAAGCATCTAACAACGCACTTAGCTGTTCTACAGGTGGTCTGAGGTAGTCAGTAAATAACAAGTGCAACTTTAGTAACAATGTTTTTGGGAAACAGCTCGGCTACTAAAGATATATTGTAAGATGGTTCTAACGATGATCTTAATGCTACGAAGGCTCTGGGAAACGAGGCCCTGGTTATTTGCTGGTGCTTATTGCTCAAGGCACTGGCTGTAAGAGGAAGTGCTGCCCAGTGGTTTTTTTTTTATGTCATTGTCATCATGCTAACGCTTTCTACTGTGGCCATATGTTAAAACAGTTTTTTTTTTTTTTTCACTTGTTGCATTTGCTTCATAGTCCTTCATAGCCCTTCATAGCCCACTAGTCCATTGTATTATTGTGTGTTAATGTGACTTTGAATAACATACTGTATGCCTTTTACTAATTTAAACATTATTGAAGGGTGTCCCATGATAGAATATGAATGAGAGTATTTGATTTAAGATGGTTGCATGCATAATTCTATGCCAATAAATAAAGATCTATTGATACTTACATTTACATTTACGTCATTTAGCAGACGCTCTTATCCAGAGCGACTTACAAATTGGTGCATTCACCTTATAGCCAGTGGGATAACCACTTTACAATATGTTTTTTTCTTTCTTTGAGGTGGGGTAAGGGGGGGGTAGAAGGATTACTTTATCCTATCCCAGGTCTTCCTTAAAGAGGTGGGGTTTCAAGTGTCTCCGGAAGGTGGTGAGTGACTCCGCTGTCCTGACGTCGTGAGGGAGCTTGTTCCACCATTGGGGTGCCAGAGCAGCGAACAGTTTTGACTGGGCTGAGCGGGAACTGTGCTTCCGCAGAGGTAGGGGGGCCAGCAGGCCAGAGGTGGATGAACGCAATGCCCTCGTTTGGGTGTAGGGACTGATCAGAGCCTGAAGGTACGGAGGTGCCGTTCCCCTCACAGCTCCGTAGGCAAGCACCATGGTCTTGTAGCAGATGCGAGCTTCAACTGGAAGCCAGTGGAGTGTGCAGAGGAGCGGGGTGACGTGAGAGAACATGGGAAGGTTGAACACCAGACGGGCTGCGGCATTCTGGATGAGTTGTAGGGGTTTAATGGCACAGGCAGGGAGCCCAGCCAACCGCGAGTTGCAGTAATCCAGACGGGAGACGACAAGTGCCTGGATTAGGACCTGTGCCGCTTCCTGTGTAAGGCAGGGTCGTACTCTCCGAATGTTGTAGAGCATGAACCTACAGGATCGGGTCACCGCCTTGATGTTAGCGGAGAACGACACGGTGTTGTCCAGGGTCACGCCAAGGCTCTTCGCACTCTGGGAGGAGGACACAACGGAGTTGTCAACCGTGATGGCGAGATCATGGAACGGGCAGTCCTTCCCCGGGAGGAAGAGCAGCTCCGTCTTGCCGAGGTTCAGCTTGAGGTGGTGATCCGTCATCCACACTGATATGTCTGCGATTCGCCACCTGGTTATCAGAATGGGGAAAGGAGAAGATTAGTTGTGTGTCGTCTGCGTAGCAATGATAGGAGAGGCCATGTGAGGATATGACAGAGCCAAGTGACTTGGTGTATAGCGAGAATAGGAGAGGGCCTAGCACTGAGCCCTGGGGGACACCAGTGGTGAGAGCACGTGGTGCGGAGACAGATTCTCGCCACGCCACTTGGTAGGAGCGACCGGTCAGGTAGGACGCAATCCAAGAGTGAGCCGCGCCGGAGATGCCCAACTCGGAGAGGGTGGAGAGGAGGATCTGATGGTTCACAGTATCAAAGGCAGCAGACAGGTCTAGAAGGACAAGAGCAGAGGAGAGAGAGTTAGCTTTAGCAGTGCGGAGAGCCTCCGTGACACAGAGAAGCGCAGTCTCAGTTGAATGACCAGTCTTGAAACCTGTCTTGTCTTGTGTTCTTTACCATTGTCCAAATATTTATGATATTGCTGATCATGTTTGTATGCTTACATTTTCATTGCCTTTGCATATCATTACCATATTTTCCTATTAACGAACACACAATTATGAAACTTCAGAAGCTTTTTTGAATACATCTTCTTGGTCCTAAAGTCATGAAATGTTCATATTGTTTCTGCTTTCACTACATGTGAATGTTGTATATAAATTAGTTTTAATCCGCCAGCGTATTGAGTTACATTTGTGCTATAAATGTCAAGCAAAACTTCTGAAGTCGAGAACAAAAAAATATTGCAAGCAAAATATAAACCCAAAAGTAATGCGCAAAAAAATCATAATTGCAAGGAGATTGGGATGAAATGCCTCACTGTTTGCATTAAATTGTTTTGGGGGCAGTTGCAAGTTTTGGCACATTTATTCCAGCAGCATAGCACCCTGCATCCCACTACTGGTTTGCCTCTGAAGCTAAGCAGGGTCGGTCCCTGGATGGGAGACCAGATGTAGCTGGAAGTGGTGTTGGAGGATCAGTAGGGGGCACCCTTTCCTCTCGTCTTTCTGAGTGGTCATAAAAATCCCATGGCACTTATCGTACCATGAAGTTGAACTATCACTCCAAAACTGGTTGACCACTGGGGATGCATCATCTACACCGCCCTCTAAACCCCGCCTACACAGAATGGATTGATTGATATGATTTATATAGTGCCTTTCTACATACTGAACTGTTTTACATAGTAAGGGGGAAACACCTCATCCACCACCAATGTGTGGAACCCACTTGAGTAATGCACAGCAAACATTTTGTGCCAGAACACTCACCACACATGGTGGAGAGGTGAGGAGTGATCTATGCCAATTAGGAGTGAGGTGGATGATTAGATGGCCATGATGGAATGGGGCCAGGTTGGTAATTTTGCCAGGACACTGGGGTTAATACCTCCTAGTCTTACAAGTGCCGAGAATCAGGACATCCGTTTAAAGACCCATCCCAAAAATGTCACCCTACACAGGGTATTGTCGCCGTCACTGCCCTGGAGCATTGGGATTTGATCGTGAGGGAAGAGTGCCCCCCTACTGACATACCATCACCATTTCCAGCAACATCTGGTCTCCCATCCAGTGACCGATCAGGACCGACCCTGTTTAGATTCGGAGGCAAACCAGCAGAGGGATGCAGGGTGCTATGTTGCTGGAATGAATGTGCCAAAACTTGCAACTGCAAAAAAAGGCAGCCGAAGCAAAGGCCAGGGTAAAGAAATTGTAAGTAGCAGGCAAAGAGGGAGTTTGCGTTTGATCGCAATCGCCTTATCCTTAAATGTTTAACTGAAAACTATTATTTTGCATTCATTTACAATACATTTGTTCTTGCATTTCAAAATTATTTCCTTGCAAAATCTTTTTCATTCTCAATACTTTTGGATTTATGTTTTGCTTGCAATATTATAATTTTTGTCCTCAATAATTTTGTGTTTAGGTTTAGCTTTCAATATCATTATTTTTGTTTGCATTACTAAAGAATTTAGTTCTCGACTTTTGCTTGATATTAATGG